GGAGTTAGTGTTCACCTCCCACAAGATGGGTCCTAAGGACCAAACTTCAGTTGTGAGGCTTGGTGGCAGGCACCATTATCCACTGAGTCATCTCACTGACCCCATTTTTCTTATATATTGGTGATTTGTGATTTTGTTGTTGTTGTTTAGGTCTCAAGATGCAGCCTCACCCTGTAGGCCAGGCTAGCCTCAACCTCCAAATGCTAAGACTGCAGTCATGAACCACATGCCTGTCGTGCACTCCACGCGAGAACTGGTTATTCTGCTGATTTGTGCATTATTGAAAGGAGTGCTTGTTCTTCTGGTTGTACTTTTGGGGTTCTTCATGTGTTCTGCATATTAATCCCCTGTCAGATGACTGGCTGCAAAGATTTCCCCTCATTCTGCAGGCTGTTTTCATGGTGTTGTGTAGCCGTAAGCTTCTCCAGTCCTGCCTGGCCCCGCGGTCGGGACAAATCTCTCCCACCCATGTCCCACAGCCACTTGGTCCCCAGTAAACACACAGAGGCTTATATTATTTATAAACTGTATGGCCTATGGCTCAAACTTCTGGCTAGCTAGCTCTTTCATCTTAAATCAACCCATCCCTATTAATCTATTTGTTGCCATGTGGCCAGTGACGTTATCAGTCTGCTGGCATCTTGTTGCTCCTTTGGCGGTGGCTGGAGTCTTCTCCACCTCTGCCTTTCTTCTTCCTGTCTCTCTCTTGGATTTCCTGCCTGGCTATACCCTGACTCACCATAGGCCAGAGTAGCTTCTTTATTAACCAATCATAGCAACACATATTCACAGCGTACAGAAAGACATCCCACAGCAGTGTTATTTCCCTGATGTGCGGAAGACTTTCAGATGGACGTACTCCACTTCCAGTTATTGGTGTCGCTGGCAAGGCCCTGAAGTCTTGGCAGATTGCCTTGGTCTGTGCCATTCTCTCGAGATGCTTTCCTCTAGGACTTTCACTTTCCCACATCTTATACTGAAGTCTTCTATGAATTGTGAGTTGCTTTGTGTGCAGCGTGAGAGACAGAGATGTCTCTCACATCCGTTCTTCTACGTGTGGACATCCAGTTTCCCAGGTCATTTGTTGAAGAGTCTGTCTTTTCTTCTGCGTGTGCCTGTGCTGCCTTTGTTGAGAATCAGGTACTGCGGCTGCGTGGGCTCATTTCCGGGCCCTCTGTCCTGTCCCATCTATCTAGGTATGCCAATAGCTTGCTGGCTTTTTTTTTACTATGACTCTATGGTGCAATATGAAATCAGACATTACGATTCCTCCAGCATTAATCTCTTGCTCAGGATTGTTTTGGCTTTTCTGGGTCTTCAGTATTTCCATATGAGTTTCAGGGGCATTTTTTCCTTGAGGAATATTCTATAGAGCCTCTGTTAGGTTTGCTTGTTACATAGCAAAAACTGACTTACACAGTCTCTCAGGAAGTTGACCTTTACCGAGAGGAATGTGACTGGAGAGGGCAAAGCTACAAGGTCCCCATTGAGGAAGTTCCTACCCTGGGCACTGCAGGCAGCTGACATCCTTCCGAGGAGCTGCAGGCCAGGGCAGCATTTCAGCTCCTGCGCTCTTCCTGAATAGCCCCACCTGAGTACAGCAGGAGTCTTTCTCCAAGTGTTATCGTAGCTCGAGGCTCTTCCCACTCAATCTCTCCTAGTTCCTTCCTCCTCCGTTCGCCAGCCTGTACTGTGAGCTGAAGGCCTCCCCTCCTGCTTGTCCTCCTCTGTGTCTTCCAGAGAAGCATCCCTGAAGCGCTTGTACTTCCGACCCCATCTCGATAGCTGCTTTGCCCAGGGCCCAAAGCCATACAGCAGAACTCCATGGAAAGATTTGGCTCAGTCCTGACTACCTCAAGATGGACAGTGGTAGTTTTTACCTGGAGAGGGCAGAGAAGAGTTTTTCAACTGATTGCAAATCGGTCTCTGGATGGCTTCTCCTGAGGTCATGGGGGCACACTGTAGAGGAAGAGCTTGGATGATTTTCATGCTACCCCCAAGACAGATGGGAAACTAAGGTTATGGCAGAAAGTGACCCCAAAACAAACTGGCCTGCAAGTGTATGGCAGGCGTTTGGTTCTCTCTTAGTTACCATGAAATACCTCACCTCCTCTCCAAGTTACAACGCCATCTGACCAGAGCTGGGATTGGCCCGTTGGAAATAAAGAGCAGGCAGGTAGAGCTATCTGGATTCTGGTTGGCTTTGGCTGCAGGACGATGGTCTGGGAGAATTTGAGGCATGCTCACACTGCAGCAAATGAGATGACTTCATGATGGGGAGGCTCAGAGCTGACACAAGAGTTTCCTTGAGCCAAAAGTGGAAGAGATGCTGATGTTGACCTGTACAGTCTGCTCCTCAAGTGGGTCATGGGGGTGGATATGCATGGTCTCTGTGAGGCGCTGGGTCAGGCTGCACTTCCAAGGAAAAGGGTTATGGGGGGGTTATTAATGCCATAGACAGACAGACAGCCTGATTAGGAGTGCGAAGAGACAGAGTGGGGTTCCTCTTATTTCTGAGAAAGGAACAAGGTCCCACGTCACGTAAGTAGACCATAGGATGTAGTTGCAGGTTGATTGTCCCTGGCTACAGTATGTCTTTTGCATGGGATGGTCACCTGCAACCCTCAGCTTCTGGGGGGACCCAGCACACTTTTGAGGGAGTCAGAACTAAGGCATCGAAGTAGATGGCTTGTCTAATTTCTGCAGCAGTGAGGACCGCAGAGGCACAAAGCTACTGAGGCGGGGAGACTGAAATGGGCAGGGCCTGAGCAGGGCCTGACCTGGGATCCAACATTCAGTTCACTGCCACCAGGACCTAGGAAGAATCAAGGTGAGGCCACACCTGGACTCAGGTAGCCATGAGTCAGGAAGTGACTCATGTCACTTCAGAACTGGGCCTCCAAGACTCGGAGGAGAATAGAGGGCATGCAGTGCCCCGGGTAGAGAGGCTGCCAGTCTCAATTCCTCTCCTGGTCCTCTGCTTTCCACTGTTCCGCCTCTCATACTCCTTTGGAGCAGGAATAGAACCCTAGTTCTTCAGACCTGCAGGAGTCTGGGGACGTGGAGACACGGCTAATATGCAGAATTCACGTCTTCTTTCTCAGTCACCAGCATGCATGGGTAAAACCAACTGTAAGACACTGTGACCCTGGAAATCTGGGGACACTGAGACCTGTGGGGAGCCACGGACGCATCCCCCTGGTGGCAGCAAGCTCCTTGGGAAGATGTCAAGAAGGAACTTAAGAGAAGGACAAAACTGGGAAGAGGCCACCTGGGGTGGGGGGAGAGTGGGTGCTGTGTAAGCCTGGATGTCATCTCAGAAGGGACACCCGCTGGAGATGTCAATCCCCAGTGTCAGGCCTGGATGGTTTTCCAGTATACTTTGCCAGTTCATTTTCAGACAAACAGTCCCCAAGAGGAAGAGAACAGCCTGGCTTCCCTCGCCTGAGGAACCGAGACTTGATGCTCTGGACATGTGACTCACTTGATGAGCTGGGGACCGAGCGGTGGTATGTGTGCCTCCCTAGGCTGCACTATCACTGCTTGGCTGGCACACAGTAGACCCAAAGGCAGAGGAGATAGAGGGTCTCCATGCAAGCGGATCAAAGGCCAGTGAGGTCCCTGTGGTGGCATGGGTAGTTTGGACATAACCGAGACTGTCGCTTAACAGAGTGGTCCTGCTGCCACTTTCAAATCTGGGAGCTTCCCTGAGCACATTTTCCGTCTAATTCTTGAAGTCTGGCTATGTCTTCAAGACTTGAATTTTCTAGTTCCTCTCTGAGCCAATTTGTTTGTTTGTTTGTTTGGTTTTGTTTTATTTTTCAAGACAGGGTTTCTCTGTGTATTTTAGATTCCTATTCTGGATCTCTCTCTGTAGACCAGGCTGGTCTCGAACTCACAGAGATCCGCCTGGCTCTGCCTTCCGAGTGCGGGGATTAAAGGCGTGCGCCACCACCGCTAAATTTTAAGGTTTGGACTCTCACAGTGGAAGTCAGAGGACCAGCCGCTCTTGTAGATCTTCTCTGTGGCCAGCAGGTGGCACCATAGCCCCATTCCTACGGGCTTCAGGCTATCACCGGTGGCTTACCGGGGAGTTGGGAGGAAGGTTATTAGGATGGGACTCCCCCGACCGACCGACCAGATGGACTCAGCAGATTTTATAAGTGACTCTAGCTCCTCCCCATGGCCTTTGGGAGAGCTAAACTGAGTCCCAGAAGGGACACTGCCCCTGGCTCGTTGCCCCCAGCCCTAAGGAGATTCTGAGGGTTTTTCTTTCTTTTTCTTTTTAAACCTTTACTCCCTCTCTAAATTGGAAACACCAGTTCTGCTAAGAGGGAGCCAGCGCTGCGGTCTGTGTGTGAATGGAGGAGGGCAAGGGGAGGGTGGTTTAGAGGTCAGATCCCTGCCTTCGGAGCCTCCTGAGGCAGGCCCTCCCTGACCTGGGGGCAGCCATCTTTAATGTCACTGTAATTGTAGCCCTGTTTGTGGTCCTGTGCACAGATCATCCATCCACCATTCATTCTTTCCCGGAGCGGCCACTCAGTCCCAGATGCTGACTTGGCACTGACCTCGAGGAGACATGAACTTAGGGATGGGGAGGCAGACCCTTAAACACAGGCCAAGAAGATGGCCCACGGCATCAAGCAGAGAAGGCATCTCTCTCCAGGGATGGCCAAGGAGAACCACTGGCTTGGGGTTTTATGGATATCAACAGAGGAGGCCACCCCTGATGAGGAGATAGGGAGCTAAAAAATACTGCACACAGTAGTGAATGATCACAACCCTTCTCAGGCCACATGGGTGGCTGTGGGGCAGGTGACCAGCAGGTGGACTGTACTGAGGTGGGCAGAGACAAGGAGACCAGTCCCACAGTCCAGGTGTGAGCTGGGAGAGGCGCCATGCAGGGAGTGAGACCAGGCAGAGACACGCACCGTCCAGAGGCAGTGGAAAAGCACCTTTTTTGTCTTACAGTAGGTTTAGTGAGTTTTCCCGTCGCGTGGTGAGTTCAGCAGCAATCACAACAGTTAACATTTATTGAGTACTTGTTATAGACCAGGCACTTCTGAAGCATGTTACATGTGCTTTCACCTGCTCCCGAGTCAACTCAATGAGGTAGGGCCTAGTAACATGGAGGAGACAACTGAGTCACAGAGCCGGACGCCTGGAGCCAGGATTTGAGCCAAACAATACCCTAGTTAGAGCCCACGACCTCCCTGCCCCTCCCCATGGGTACCACAGCCTTATAGCAGAGTCTCAGGAGGGAGGCCAGGCCCTCGCCTATGATGTCTGCTGGAGGTCAAATGGCTGAGATGGCCAGACAGACCGAGAGTTAGTTGGTGGGGGGAAAAAACCTGAGGGGGAAGGATGGAGTCCTCCTGAGGTGAGGGGAGAAGAGCCAGAATGCCTGTCCTCCCTGCCAGGGCTACGTCAGGTGGCAGATGCTGGCAGTGACCTGTTTTTTCCAGCATCCTGCCCACTGCCTCCCCACAAGAAAAGCCCAGAGTTCAGGTCACAGACGGGAGGCTTTATTGACAAGGGGGCAGTGGAGTTCTGGGCCAGGACATACGGCACTGCTCTGAGAATCCAGGCTCACGTCAAACCCAGGGGCCTCTGCCTCAGGGACCTCTCTTCCCTCATCACTGAACTTTCCAGTATTTCTTTTTCTAGCAACTGAGACAAGCCATCCCTACCCACCAACATCCTCCAGACAAAGTGACTCACAGCTACCCATGGGGAGCCAGGAGCAGAGTTTTGCCTGAGGTGCGTTTTGTATGGCAGGCACAGGCCCCTTCTCAGCCTCTCAGCCAGGCACCCCAGTGTTTGCCCAGCACCCCAATTCCCAGCCTCCCAGGGTGGAGACAAAATGAGGCAGAAGGCTGGAGTCGAGGCTGAAGGACAGGGACACCTCGTGTCCCCCGTCATTTTTCTCCGGCTTTGCCCCCTTCTGGCACAAGTCTGCCCTGTGGAGGGGAGCCTAGCAAACATATCCGCCCTGTCTGTGCGGCCCCCCCGGCTCTAACACCGACCTCCTCCCCTGACTGGCAGGATTCTTCAGCTATCACTTTGACAAAGCATGAACAGAGCTGGAGGCTGGCCCGGTATTTCTTAGTGGCTCCAGAAACAGCAGTAGACGCCCAACTCGGGGGTTGTTTTTCCCCGGTTTCCTTGCTTGTTTTGGCGGGGGGGATCACGAAGGCCCAAGACTAGCTTTAGGAGCCCTCAACCTTCTCTAGCCTCCCCAGCAGTGGGCAAAGAGACAGGGGAAAGCCGGTCCTGAGCCGGGCCTGGGAGGAGCAGGAACAAAAATAACCCGGTACAGGCTCCTGCTGGGACCAGAAATAGCATGGTGACAAGCGCCTTGTAACACCCCAGGCACACGGCAGCAGGGAGGTTGAGCCAGGAGGGTCTCGTCTCACACCAGACCCTCACCTGGCCGAGGGGCTGGCACCCCATCCACTCTACATACCATACTTGACTCTCCATGTGCTCACCTAAGTGAGTAGGGGCCTGAGGGGCCGCAAACTCAGGGCAGGGAATCCGGAGAGATGCTAAACTTGGGCTTGGCCTTCGCCACAGCCACACTGCGCTTGCGCAGGGGCCCTCGCGCAGAGGCGAGGGTCAGGGCATCCAGCAGGCTGCGGTCCTCATCAAGCTGGCGAGCTGTACAGAGTGGTGTGGGCACTTTAACGGTGTTACCAAATTTGGAGTAGTCCACCGAATAGCGGCCGTCCTCCTCGGCCACAATGGGCACGAAGCGTTGCCCCCATAGAATCTCGTCAGCTAGGTAGGAGGTGCGGGCCTGGGTGGTAATGCCTGTGGTTTCTACCACGCCTTCCAGGATGACAATGATCTCCAGGTCTTGGTGGTGGTGCAGGTCACTAGGAGCCAGGTCGTAGAGAGGGCTGTTGGAGTCGATGACGTGGTAGATGATGAGCGGGGCCACCAGGAAGATGCTGTTACCACCCACGCCATTCTCCATGGGGATGTCCACCTGGTGGAGAGGCACGACCTCACCCTCGGGGCTGGTGGTCTTGCGCACCACCTGCATGTGGATGGTGGCGCTGATGATCATGCTCTTTCGGAGGTCCCCCACGCGAAGCATGAAGCAGAGGCGGCCATGGCGCAGGGTGATCACAGCGTGCTTGCTGAAGATCAGGGTTTCTGCCCTCCGATGGGCCTGGGCTGTCTTCATGAAGATGCAGCCCAGCATGATGGCGTTGATCATTAGCCCTACGATATTCTGCACGATGAGAATAAGGATGGCCAGGGGACATTCTTCCGTCACCATGCGCCCACCGAAACCAATGGTCACCTGAACCTCGATGGAGAAGAGGAAGGCGGATGAAAAGGAGTGGATGCTCGTGACGCAGGGCACAGCGGTGCCCTCTCCGGGGGCCAGGTCACCGTGGGAGAAGGCGATGAGCCACCAGACCATGGCGAACAGCAGCCAGCTGCACAGGAAGGACATGGTGAAGATGAGCAGCGTGTGGGGCCACTTGAGGTCCACCAGCGTGGTGAACACATCCTGCAGGAAGCGGCCCTGCTCTCGAATGTTCTTGTGGGCGACGTTGCAGTTGCCTTTCTTGGACACGAAGCGGGCCCTCCTCTCCCGAGCACGGTACCTGGGCTCTGTAGGGTCCTCTGCCAGCCGGGTCAGCACATATTCCTCAGGGATAATGCCCTTTCGGGACAGCATGGCTCCGTGGGCCCCAGGAAGGGGCTTCTCCCATGGGGGGCACTGCGCTGACTTGGCCTACGGCCTCTCTGTGGGACCCCCCCTCTTAGAGCTCTCTCCTCGGGCTACCCTAAACTTGGACCAACCTTCGCCTGATTCGCCCCCCAGCCGGATCCTGCTTCTCCTTGACACGAGCCTCAGAAGCCGGCTCCACCTGCTCAAGGCTTACTGAGCCCCCAACCCAGCCTGCGCTCTACCTGGCCCTGGGTCCCGGCTCAGCTGTCTACCTCCACCCCTGGACCTCCTCTCAACTCCCTTTCCCTGGCCCAGCCTTTCTTCTCAAACCTCCTCAGAACTTATCACCTCCGGGTCTTCCAGCTCACCAGCCCTCACCCGATCCCCGCTGTTCCCCGGCCTCACCCACTCTGCCCGCCCTGTCCCCTCCAAGCCCCAGCTTCACTTCTTGACCCAGTCTCCCCTCCAGGTGTGTCCCGGATTTCCCACCCACCCCTCCCCTAGCGCCCCCGCCGCTCCCGGATGCTTCTCCAGCTCTCGTCCGTCCTCTCTGTCTCCTTGGGATCCCGCGCCCTTCGAGTCACCCCGCAACCGGCTGCGCTGGGGATCCCCTCGCCCCCCGCCGCCCAGGCCCCGCTGGCTCCGTGTCGCGGCCTCCCTGCTGCCCTGCCGCCCGCCCCGCGGTCCCCGCCGCTCCGTCCCCGCCCCGCCTGTCGCCGCCGCACCTGCTCCTGCTGCTCAAGCCGCGGCCCCCTCCCTGCCCCCTCCCACTCCGGTGCTCACTCCCGGCCGGCTTCCCGGGCGTGTGTCTGTGTGTGCGACGGTCCTCGGGCGCCGACCCGTGCGCGGTGGGGGTGGGAGGCTGCGGGCGGGGGGCTCCCGGGAGCAAGGGCAGCCTCCGCCGCCAGGGGGCGCCCGATCGGCTCCCGAGCGGACGACTGGGGCGGGCCTGGCCATAAGCCCCGCCCACAGAGGGCTCTCGTCCCACCCTCGCCTGCTGTCATCCTCAGCCCGGCTACAGGGCTTTCTTCAAATGGATGGCTCGAAAGAAGTCCCTTTTGTGAAATTCTCTCTGTCCGGCTCAGCAGCCGCTGGATCCCTGATGGTCCGTAGTTGGGTCATACCTGCCTCTCACGCAGCACTCGATTCCCAGGGAAACCAGGCAGTGAGAGGTTTCACCATCCATCCTGGGGCTGGTGAGATAAAACATTAGCCTCAGGACTGCTCAACCGGCGATTCTTCCATTTGAGGGTTATTCTTGACCCTACATTATTTATTTACTTACTTACTTACTTACTTATTTATTTATTTATTTATTTATTTATTTATTTATTTATTTATTTATTTATTATTTGTCTGTTTACCTATTTGAGACAGGATTTCTTGTAGCCCAGGGTGGCTTCAAGGTGCTGTGTAGCAGAGGATGACCTTGAACTTCTGATCCTCCTGCCTCCACGTCCAGAGTGCTGGGATTGCGGTGCAGAACAAGGCCCTGTCTGCCACCCCTGAATTTTAAGAGGATCAGTTCTGCCAGCATTCACTCTGCACTCTGTATAGCTTCACCCTGATTTCTTCCCTTTTAGCCCTGGGGTGTGTGTCTGGGCCTGAGCAGCCATTTTAGGGCTAGCTTGGGCACAGAGCGGGTAGCCCAGGTTATTGTCAAGAACAGTGTTGATGTTTCCATTCAGATGCTACCCTAGAGTGGCCCCTGAAGGTTGCTGGGTCACCTGCAATGTAATGTCCTGCTCTGGGACTCAGATCCTTGGGGACAAACCCCTACCTCCTGTGTAGCTTGAGTGAGGGCTTGAGGCAGGGGCTAGAGTGACCCTGGTACCGGGAATCCGGGCCACCATGGAACATTTTCACACTGAGTAGGGACTTTCAGAGAGAGTTGTCTTCCTTTCCTCCACATCACCTATAGGTTGAATGGACCCTGCTACAAAGAGTGAGTGAGGTCATTGCCATAGTCACGGGCGTTATGCCTAAGGCAGGGAACGTAAAACAAGTTGAGCAGAGAGCAGAAGTTCAAGAACACAGCTACACAAGAAATCTCTGAGGCCACTTCAACTTTTAGCCATCAAAAAAGGACCGTGGGAGGGCTCCAGGAATTTTGGACATCTTTGCAGAAGTCCCTGGGGGTGAAGGAGGAATGGCCGGTAGGTTTGCTTGGCCCACAGGTAATACCAGGATAGAGCAGAGCAGAGGCAGGCTTTGATTGACATGTGCGAGAGTCTGTTCTGGTAACAGTGACCGGAGATGGTCCACACGGTGCAGATGCAAGTCTGAGTTGGTGGACTGCTAATTGGATCATGATGGAGGGATTTGGACCAGGATGGCCTTGGGCATGCTCTTCTTCTGCTGCTTCCTTAGGGTGTGGGGTCCTTCCCTGGCAGGGCAGAGTCCCTTAACCCTCTCTGTGTCTGTTCCTGGAAGTCCAGAGTGGAAGGAACTGCTGGGCCCACAGAGGCATCTTAGGGCTGGAAAGGCAGCCCCTGCCCGTCAGTATGGCCTCAGCTAGTCGCTGCCCCAGGACAGAGGAGGCTGGGTGTCTTCTCCAAAGGGCTCAGCATCCCACTCTGATTCCCCATTGCTCACAGCCATCTCCCCAAACACTGTCCTTGTCAAGTCCTTTCCCCCAGAGGCCGACCCCACACGCACGGTCCTGACATTAAGGGTCTTCGGTGCCTCCCTACTTCCTGTGTCTCCTCCACACCCCCACATGAACCACTGGGCACACCCGCTTCCCGTCATTTCTTCACTCTGGCTGCACGATCCCTGCCTTTCTCTCCATCCCTCTGTCTTTCTGATTATCTAATTTCTTCCCTCCTACTCCCAACACGAATCCTGCCTTTGCCAGGCAGCCTGCCAGGCGGAGCACTCCCTTGAGTTCCTCTGGCTGCTGTGCTGGGCCCCCTCTGGTGACTGATGAACTTCCCCTTATCTTCTGGCCCTCCTGCAACCCCAGGGTCTCATACTGCAGACAGTACTGTAGACAATACACAAATTATAGCCAAATGAGATGTAAATGAGCACCTGCCATTTCTTGGTGGAGAGGGCTATATTCCCGTCCCCTGATACAAACAGGGTTGGGACAAGCTGTTGTTTTGGTCTCCCGGTGTCTCTGGTCCCTGGCATCTTCGGCCCACCACCTGGCTGACTTGTACAGGGACTGCTCAGGGGCCACCCTTCTCCCACTTCTGGGTGCTTGTAGGGTGAAGGAGGGAGGCGGAGGCAGTGGAATGAGATCCAGGCCTAACCAGCGGAGTATTCCAGACCTCTGCCAAATGCTGGGTGGGGGTGGGGGTATGACCAGGTGGGCCACTGAGATCCGGTTCTAGGATTTTATTGGAGTATTGGGAAAGAACACCTCATTTTCCTCCTGGTTGCTCCAGGGCAGGATGTAAGCTAAAGCTACGACCAGCCATCTGTCACCAGAGAGAAAGGAAGTGGGATTCAGAAATGGAGGCACCATCCTGATGTCAGAAACCAGGAGTAGCATTCCTCCGGGTCACTTCTGGTCAGTCATACCACAGTGAATTTATGTTCATGGTTAAGCCATGGTGAGTTCCTGTGAGTGGAGATGCTGAGTCCCAGACCCCACGATTATAACCCAGGTGAGCAGGAAAGAGCCCCAGCTGGATGGAGACCTGCTCCTTTGTCTGATGGGGCCGTCACTGAGTCGTTACCACCCTTGCTGTGGACTGAATTCCATCCCCGAATTCACAGGAAGCAGTCCCCAGCTACATTTATTTGGGGCCAGGGCGCATGAGGAGGTAATTAAGGTTCAGGGAGGGTATGAGTGGGAGCTAATCCAATCTGACTAGTGACTTAGAGGAAAACACAGAGGGGTGGGGGGGGGGGGAGGGGGACTGAGAGGTGGGGAGGGCACAGGGAAAAGCTAAGGAGGCCCCAGGAAACACCAAAGCAGCCAACACCTTGATTTTGACTCTCAGCCTCCAGGACAGGGAGAAATACATTTTTGCTGTGAAAAGCCACCCAGACTATGGCATTTTGTTACGGCAGCTGGGGCCGCCTGCCACAGGTCAGGAACACGGTTTTGCATCTTCACGTTTGCTTGGTTCCAAAGGCAGGCTGGTTCCCTGCACCCACGGGGCACCGCTGCCCCTTCCACAGAGCCAGGGCCTCCAGTAGCAAAGAATTAATTTATTTACAAGTGATTTTCAGTTAGAAATCCCAGGCAAGCAAGTGATGTGGGGTGGCACTTTGGCGTCGGCAAGTCATTTGTCCGCACGGACAAAGGAGGCGAACACGCTGTCCTTCTGGCTGAGAAGCGTCTCCGGCTTGTCAAACTCCAGGATAGCACCCCTCTTCAGGACCATCACCAGGTCTGCGCTTAGGATGGTGTGCACACGGTGCTGGGTGGGCAGGAGGGGCTGCTTAGTGTGGTGGCAGGAGGGCCGAGGAGCCCTGTGCTCCCGGAGCCTGGAGGAGATTCGTGTCTCTGCCCCCTCCACTTCTCTTTTCTTGGAGCCCTGACAGACTGGAGGCTAACTTTGCTTGCCCTTCCCAAGTGCAGGATTACAGGGCCACCACCACACCCCATTTCTGCAGTGCTGGGGACTGGCTCCGCATCTGCAGGAAAGCATTCTTCACAGCCAGGCTGTGTCCTGTCTGAGGTGCCGGTTCCAACCTGGGGTGGCTGGGGTCCAAGGCCTCTACCCTCTATCAAGCCTTAGCTCTGCCCCCACCTCCAGACTTCAAGACTTACGGACTCTCTCCCCAGGCCCCCACTTTCAATGAGAAGCAGCCCCCAGCCTAGCCTACAGGGTTTTAGGGAAGGATGTATTTTGGAATCCAGAGAAATAAGGGCAAGTCATGAGGCAAGGAAGATGTAACTCTCTAGACACCTCAAAATTCTGCTCTGCCCTCCTGCCACCCTCTAGACTCCCTGTCGTGAGCACCCTCGGACCTTTTCCTGCCTACAGCAATCAGTCCGCTGGTCCCAGCGGCGAGCTTTCCTCCACACACTATCAATGGCCCCTTACCGCGATGGTGACCACTGTGCGGTCTGCGAAGGCTGTCATCACCACCTTCTGGAGGATGTTTTCCTGTCAGGGGGAGGGAGGTAGCTGGTGGCTCATCTGCTCCGTGGATGGGGCTGGGGATGGTTCTGGGAACGCGGGTCCAGCTCCCATCCACCCCAGCTCCCAGCTCTACGCCCAGCTTCTCTCTGGCCGTAGTCCCAGAGGATTGACCGGGCTCTCAACACTCAAGGGCTGGACTTGCCTTTGCCACACAACCCTTGATGTGACTGCCAACCTGAGGCTTAAGACCACTCTATGCCAGCTGCTCCCTGACCTGCCATCCCAGGACCAACCGTAGCCATGTCGATGGAGGCAGTTGCTTCGTCCATGATGAAGATGCTCGTCTTCCTCACAAAGGCCCGGGCCAGGCAGAACAGCTGCCTCTGGCCCTGGCTAAAATTCTCCCCGCCTTCTGTGATGATGGCATCTGGAAGCAG